TAAGTCCATATGTTTAAAAGTTGTTTTTATTTTCTTAAAATTTTCTAAAACAGTGGAAAATGTTTTGCTACTCAGATTTTTTCTGATAGCTGAAAGGTGAGGAACAATGGATGACTAACATGATTGTGTGGCCTTATCAGACATTATAACATATAATTTACACTTCTAGATATCTCTTCACTTTTTATCCATATCTGCCAATATTGGCTCAAACCACTTTATTTACTCTTTTTCATCATTAAGCACTCCTATCATTATTAACTCGTTTCCTTTAATTGTTTTTATTTGTAATCAGTACACATGGCTCATGATCTGCCCTGGAGTTTCCTTTTGAGATGTTTCAAGATATTAGTTCACAGAAAGACTATAAGAATAGAGAAAATGTGACTATGAATACCAAAAAACAGAGACCAAAATAAGGCAGGATGTGTTCTTTTAGGTATAAGAATTTTGTATTTATCTCCTGTAACTCTTTTTTAAAATGCTTCAGTTCCATGTGTCCCTCTACATACAAAAGATTAGAGCAACACATCTTGGGTTGAGGGATTTACTATGATTTTTTTTTTCTATTATTTACATTATTTTTCTGGGTTGGAGAAAGGGGCGTAAGAAATAAATAAATAGGATCCTCACTATCATTATCATAAAATAATTTACTATGGACCAACTTATGGGTGGCCTTGTTCAAAATGACTTGGACATACATTCTCAGCATTAACATGGAATGATGTCCAGAGTTCAGATAATAAAAAGATATTTGTTAGGCTAATGCTTAGTTATGCATACTATTTTGCAAGGGTAATAAACAGAATGAATAATGACAGAGACTTATTTTGGATACTAGAATCTCAGTTATAACAGCAAATCCCTCCAGTTCTAGAATCTTTACAAGGGAGTACCTATTGGTTGTAATCTGACCTTCCATGAAGATAAGACACATGTCTCTAAGAATAATATAAGACACACCCTGGAATGAGAAGTTTATAAATATTACAACACAATTAATTCAAATATAAATATATTTAGTAATATGCAAATACAAAGATGTTCTTAGTTATATTTTACTTTTTCTGGTAGATAAGAGCACTTGAAGCATCCTCTTCTGCATTAGTTAGTCCTTCTTTATGTGTTCAGCATTTTTCTTGGTTCATACCTATCACACATTCTAGAGCCCTTATTATTTGCAAGTTATTTGCAGCTTGTGGTAATATGTGATCCAAATGCCATCCCAAGTGACACTGAAAAATTACTAATGATGTTACTCTTTTACAAATAAACCTCTTCTTTTACCCAAGTATGCTTCATCTGTGTTTTCTCTGTTGATATTATAAATGTGTTTCTCCATCTCGAGATAAACCAATGGCTTTTTACAGTTTTTGATAAGAAGAGTAACTTCCTGAGTGGGATGGAAGCTAATGATAAGTCTGTTTTGGAATGATGGATCTTACGACATGTTGTAGGCAAAAGAGTCATAATACATCCTCCATCACCACATTTATCATTGTGACCTAGATCACTAAATAATTATTGTATACACATTTAAAGAAAACTTTGTGATAATGAATGAAAGAATTTTACTTTTTAGACCACACAATGTCAGAATGTATTTATAGTCTCTCTTGAAGGGACTATAAATAGTATAGGGGTAGATATACTATTAAATAGTATAAATAAATAGGGGTAGATAAGGGCACTCAAAGAGGTAACAGTTCAACCATTAGAACGGTGTTTGAAGGAGGAATTATAGAGCCCTAGAGCCCGACTTTTCCAGGTGGTGCAATTTTAAACAAATTGCTGTGTACAAACAATGCATATCACTGGTGAGTTTCACCACTCTTTTCTATTGTCCTAGGCATTTATCTCTTCACTCCAAGAAACTCACTGTCTTAGGAGTACTCATAGTGGCTTAGAGTTCCCAATTTGATGCCAGATATGAGTAATTCCATGTATCCCTTGCCTATTCCTCTCCACTTTTGCTCCATTAGGATTCTACTCTTCTATTGATTATTTGTAGTATGCTTATTCCTAAGAATTATGAGAGTGGGGTGAAAGAGTCTGAATAGAGGCCCACATATTTTATTGTTTATTGTAAACCAACTAGAGATTACTAAATAAAATGTTATATTTTCCCATTTTGACAGACATATCTTTATAACAACCTGGATGGCCAGGTACAATGTTAGAACTTTTGGAGTCCTCAGGAATACGTTGGCATGGAGAGAAATGGCTCCAGTCTACAGTCTCTCCTCCATCCACTTCTAGCATATATTGTGAGAGGTCTTACATGCAAGTTTTTGGACACTCTAGCCTACATATCCAGGATCTGTATAGTTTCCCATCACACATTGACACCTGGACCACCCATTCCTTCCTAAATATATGCACACTAGTGGCACAATCTGCTGTCTGGGGATTGAACTGGGGAAGATGACATTACAGTTTCTAGATAAAGACTTGGAGTTATTTGCAAAGGAAATTCTGGGATCACAGGGTCTGGAAGGGGAGAGTGCAGAATCTAAATGAGCCTTTTTCTTCACTCCACACTTTGTACAGTGGGGAAGGATGTGGTCAGAGAAGGACAAGAGTGATACTTGTTGGTTTACTGCCACTCTCCTAGTCACATGAGACACATAAGTTAACAGACCACAGTGCTTGACCTTATAGGTCTATATTCTGGGAAAAAGAGAGACAGGTTACCAATACTAAATCTAATAAATGTATGAATGATATAATATGGTAGAAGGTAAGAAGTAGTGGGGAAAATATGAGAATTGAAGCAGGTAGAAGTGTAGGGGCTACAGTGTTTAACAGGTTTATCAGGGTTGGCCTCAACTGAACAAAAACTTGAAGGTAGTGAGGGAGTTTGCCAAGAAGATAACAAGATGAAAGGAAACTCAGATTTTTAAGGGCATAATGCACAATTTAAGGTAGAACTATAATTTTCATGTGAAAGAGAACTGATGACTAGATCATATACTGTAGTTCTGTCTAATAGAATTGTAAGGCCATAGAATTTAAAATGTTTGTTTTGCCACCATAAGAAAGTAAAAAGAAACAACTGATATTAACTTTAATAATACATTTTATTTAACTCAATTTATCTCAAATGTTATCATTTCATCATATAATCTTCAAAATCCAGAGTGTGTTTTGTACTTACAGCACATCTAAATTTAGACCAACTACACTTCAGTTGCTCACTAGCCACATATGGCTAGTGGTTATTGCACTGAACGGCTTGAATATTTGGATGCATCAGTGAAAGGATTTTGTCTGTTACTCTGAGTGACTTAGGAGATGTTTCAGAGTTTTAAACATTGAAGTGTTGTAATTTGATTTATGTCTTTAAAATACCTTGGCTAGCCTGAATTAATACACCATAAGGATCAGGAATAGACACAGGGAGACCTATTGCAATAATCCATATGAGGAATGATGATGGCTCAGGTGGGAGCCATGGATGACATAAAAAGTAGTTGAATTTCCGATCATTCTGAACATAGAACAAATAGTATGGATCACACTCGGGGTGTCAGAGGAGAGTCAAAGATGACTGAAATTTTGGCCTGAAAGCCAGAAAAGATGGAAAAACCTTAACTGAGATGAGGAAGGCTGCCAGAGGGGTGAGGGAAGAAAGGAGTTCAGCCATTGATAGGTGTATCTGAAAAGCACACTAGACATCCAAGTAAGGATGGTGAGTAAACAGTTGGGTATAAATCTGGAATTTGGGGAAAGTATAGAGATAAATGTTTGGAGATCACCAACTTTGAAACTGAATAAGATCACCAAGGGAGTGAGAATAGACAGAGGTGGGAAAAAAGTACCAAAAACTGAGCCTTGGAGCATCTGAAATGAAAAGGGTTAGTTAGAATAACATGAAATTGGTGTTAAAATAACACCAAATACTTGAGTGTTTTTGTATCATTTTTAGTTTTTTTTTTAAAATTCTGACATTTATCATCATTTTATCAAAAAACTTAATATTTAGATGCAACTCAGGCTTTCTTCATGACAGTTTTGCTTTAAAATGTCTCACAAACCCTCAAATAATTAACTCATTATACCTGAGTGAATTTAAACAGTGGGCAGTTAAAATTAAAAATGTGGTTGGAATGAATTTATAGCCAACAAGTAGTTTTTTAGTTGTTTTTTTTTTTTTTTTTTTTTTTTTTTTTTGAGATAGAGCCTTGCTCTGTCGCCAGGCTAGAGTTCAGTGGTGCAATCTTGGCTCACTGCAACCTCCGCCTCCTGGGTTCAAGTGATTCTTCTGCCTCAACCTCCCAAGTAGCTGGGACGACAGGTGCCTGCCACCACACCGGCTAATTTTTTGTATTTTTAGTAGAGATGGGGTTTCACCATGTTGGCCAGAATGGTCTCGATCTCTTCACCTCATGATCCACTCGTTTCGGCCTCCCAAAGTGCTGGGATTACAGGTGTGAGCCACCGTGCCCGGCCACAACAGTTTGTTTTTAATACATGTCGTTTATGTTTGTGTTCCCCGGAGATGTACAGGGCAATTGTTATTTGATAAATATAGCACTAACCACCAATAAAGCCTTTTTAAATCTATCCTACAATTTACAAACTAACATGGCTTTGTTTTACTTGTGCTCACCAATTTGCTTTTTTATGTAAAGTCTCTGAGTGATGGTTGTGTGTCCTTAACTTATTGTAGTCTGTTGATAAGCAAGACCTTTATTCATTTAACTATATTCAAATCTCAGGTATGAAGAAGGTCTCATAAACAAAATCCATTATTTTACTATAAGCACATTCATAACTGTTTAAAAGAACTACAACATGTAGTTCAAATGAGATTTTAACCCTTTGTGATCTTTTTTATGAAGCCAATTATTTAGAATATGATACGGAAAATAATGTATTAAGCTAAAAACTGAAAATTAGAGTTTAATAACTCATTTTAATCTAAATTGCTACATATACATAGTGACAAATTAGTTTTATAACACAGACAATTGTTTGTGTTTGTGTCTTTTCAGTCTGTTCGAGAAGTCACAGGCTATGTGTTAGTGGCTCTTAATCAGTTTCGTTACCTGCCTCTGGAGAATTTACGCATTATTCGTGGAACGAAACTTTATGAGGATCGATATGCCTTGGCAATATTTTTAAACTACAGAAAAGATGGAAACTTTGGACTTCAAGAACTTGGATTAAAGAACTTGACAGGTAAGGAATATATACATAATGGCAGATATGCTTTCATTATCAATATAAGGCAATGTACACAAAAATGTATATGTAGGGTTACTGTCATATTTGTTACATTAAGGAACACTCTAAGGCATTTAAATATCAGTGATTTGTTCATTTTATGAGCAATGATGCCCCGTGATGCCCTTGTTTTTGTTTATAGATTTTGTAAGTGCAGTGTGAAGGATACCATAATACTGTATCTCAGCTGAACAGGAGTAAACTCTGGAAATGCTCTGTAACTGAAAACTGAGATATGAAACATGCTGTGTTTGGTGGTTTCAGGTGAACAGTGGACCATATCATCAAATCTTTGCAGTAATGCAATAACGAATAGAGCTTAGTAATACCCAAGCTATTATATCTATTTCCATGAATCTTTAGTTTTCTGCACAATCACCTTATTTTTGGAAAATATATCTAATTTATACAGTTTTGATTTCTCTTATTCAGTAGCTCACTAAATGCCATCAGCAATTCTTTCTCAGAATACTTCAATAACATCAGATCATCAGAGTAGTTTTTTCTCATTAAGATTGGAAATATATGATGTAAGCAACCTAAAATTATCATCCTTCCATGAAAAACACTCAATAGGAATTTATTTTGTAAGCCGGTTCTTGCCATCCCACTGTTACTTTTCAGTTCGCATAGCTCAGAGTATGTAAAAGTCCTTGTAGGAGGCTTTTTGGTATAATGGTTCTAATCATGAATTTTATTCATGCATACCTGTAATCAAAATGAACTGATTACTGAGATTGCACCATTGCTCTCCACCCTGGGCAACAAGAGTGAAACACCATCTCAATAAATAAATTAATTAATTAATTTAAAAAATAAAAGCTAATTAGTGAATAATTAGTATCTCACTGTGGGATAAAGGAGTTTTCATTTTAATTTACTATAAATTAATATAATCAATATATTTTGCATCCAAACATGTAGTGGTTTTATATGTACTTTGAGTCCAATAAGTAGTCCAAATAATTCTTGACATTGAAATATTAAACAGTTTAGAGATATGGCCTTAAAATATAACAAAAAGTAAGATGAATATTGTCAGAATATTGAAATCATTTGTTTCTTATATTTGAAGTAGATATTAAATTTATAGTTTTAAGTTAGATATAGCTTCATAGTTAGCCAGACATGTGAGATAAAATTGGGATATTTTGGGTGAAGAAAGGAATACTGATTGTGTTATTTATTTTGGACATGATTGCTATAGAGTTGATGAAATAATGGTGAATGCAAATTGTTCAGAATTTATAGATTCCTTCATCAACATTTTCACTTTTATTTCTTTCAAAGATAGTTTTCTTACTGAAGAATGGAGTTTTTTACTAAATTACTACTTATATAGAAATAATGATAGGAGAAAGAATTTTGGAAATGAAATGTGTAGAGAACAATTGAGTGATTGAAATTAGGGATCTAAAAATACTGTAATACGATCCAGTTAAAACCTGCATAGGAAGCATTGTGTTTTCATCATGATTTCCTTCTGAATATATTAAAGAAAAAAATTGAATAAGTTGCTTCTCAAACTTTTTATAATACTTGAATCTTGTTATTATTCCATAAGATGTGCTGTTTGAGGAATCTTTCCACATAGAGAATTTGTCTTTAAATAGTTCCCTTATTTATTTTCACATTTAATACCAGTACTACTAAATTATTAAAACAGAGTTATTTAATCCATCAAAATTATGCCACATTTAAACATACCTCATAGTGAGTATGTGCATAACTTGTATTACTTAAGATTGTGACAGTTGTTCAACTTGCGCGTACCAATATATAACACTATTATTTCAAGAGTATTATTATTCACTTCGCATGGAAGCTGTTATATTTTCTTTTGCCGTAGTACAAATGGATAATTAATAAGTGATTAAGAAAATGAGCTGATTGTTTAGAAAAATAGATACTCATTCAAAAGATATTAATTTCTTTGAGTGTGAATTGAAGAAAGTGCAACAAAATGGTAGAAATTTAGGCTAATATGGACATTTTTCAGATATTTTATTTATTAGGTGGTTGACTGCTATATGCCAAAATTATTCTGTAAGGGAAACAGTCTAGGGTCATTGAACTTTAGGTATTCTGATCGATAGTGTTACTCCAATTGTGAGAATCAGAAGTTACACGGACGCATGATTGTGTTTGTGTGCAAGAATATGCAAGAAATGACAGAAGACACCTAACTGTTCACATGAAGAAGAATATGGGATAAAATTTACTCTATGGCAAAATCTTAAAAGGCTAAATGTTCTAGGTAACCCTATTAAAGCAACAAACAAGTGTCATAATTAAGTTCAGGTAAGATTGTTTTTGTGCTTTGGAAAAATATTTGTTTTATGTTGCTTGTTTTTGTGTTATGCAAAGCAAAAATTTTAAAACAACATTTTTATATTCTATTAAGGGCAGAGCTACTGGACTGGCCTTAATTTTTTATACCTGGTATAAAATGAGGGGAAATAGCAAATCTGCTGATTAGTCGGATACCTCACTGCCTAATCTACCATACTGTATTAAATTTTTAACTCCATTCTTAAAGGACCAGCACCATGAGCATCATCCAGGAACTTAGAAATGCAAATCCTTGGGCTTCACCTGAAACCTACTGAATGAGAAACTCTGGGGGTGGGGCCCAGCAACTTGTGTGTTAAGTATCCCTGTAGTGATGCTGACGATTACTACAATTTGAGAAGCACTAATCTAATTAATGGTATGTTACCAAGAGATGGTAGCACTATATCCAGTTAAATTCTTCACAATTATTTGTATTCATCTATCATCTCGCAAAGAGAAAGGAAGGGATGGGACAGGAACAGATAAGGTTTTGCTTTCATGACAAGAAATACACTGTATGTTCGGGTGAAAATGAAAATAACTCATGAGGATCCTGGAGAGCCACTTGGGTGTAAAATGACTTAAAGATAAGGAAGATGCTGGGAATAAATTTTTCTATAATCGTTTTGCCAAATACCAACTTTGTATATTGATAAATCATTAAAAAGGCAATAGTAATTCATGATGAATTTTCTTCTTAAGCAAAATTTTATTTTTAAGTACTTTCAACAAAGTAAATAACCAGTAACAATTATGGGGATGGGAAGTGCACAGAGTATTGTAACCAAGAGTTTTGAGATGAAGACTTTAAGAGTTCTTTTGTGTATATTTGTATATGGTTTGCATTTCTACTGAAAGCTTTTTCACTGTTTGATATTAGAATAGTATGTGTTCAGAACAGCACATTAGCTTTCTACAAACTTTGTGTAACAGAGATATTTAGTTAACATGAAGACTGTCATTATACACTAGTTAATGGTTGGATGTCACTGAGACATATACAGATTAATTCCCACATTAAAAATTCCTATTAATTAGCTTGATGTTCACCAAAAGTTGCTGCATGGCCTAAAAAATTACTGCAGATCTTACTTACATACTTTCATGTTGGTTGTGCCCGAGACAATAAACAGATTTAAACCTATTTTTCTGGCCAAGCAGAAACATTTGTTTTACTGCTGCTTCTCACATTTCCCAGTATGTATAGGGTAGACGATAAGTAGAGGGGAAAAGAGGCAGTTGCCTAGACTAAAAATAGGCCACACAATCTATGAAGGACTGAGGAACTTATATTAGCATACTCTAGGTCTAGGTGTCCTGTTAACACTGCCTTACTTTTTTCTTGCCAGTGGAGAGGTTACACTTCCATCAGTGCATCCCTTCAGGCATATGATCTTCTATATCTTGAGGCCATTGGGAAGGTCCCTACTGCATCAGAGAAGTCCATATCTGGACAGGGGACACCATGTCTTCCATTAAGGTCGCTTGCCCATGGCTGTGGTTCTTATTAATCACTCTTGATGAGGATGTCCTGCTGACTTTTTAAAATCACCTCTTTCTTAACCAAACATTCCTATTCAAATTGACATTTAATAGTATATATACAATCTTAATTAATTCTGTAAGCTTCTACTTGTTTAGTCACTAGTCTGGCCAAACCCTAAAAGGAATTATATGGGCCATAAAACCCACCATTACTTTCTCCCTTCTGCAATTTATAATATCACCTCATCTGTTACTAATCGTTGGTAATATGATACAATTTAATCTACATATTATATTGTAGATATAAAGGAATCTTTCATAAATACTTAAGTTTAATTCTATTCTATTTATATCCCAAACAGGAAGATAAACACTTAAGTTCATATCTATTTTGTTTATATCTTAAAAGGAAAGATAAATGCTTAAGTTCATATCTATTTTATTTGTATCCATATAAAATAGATAAATGTAGTTTGATCTTGATATGGAATGATAACCTAGGTACAAATTTAATACACTATACATATATTTATCACACTAAATTTCAGCTTAAATAATTGAATTTTTACTTTTTAAATGATGAGAATATCTTTAGAGGAGGTGATATTTGGGATGATACGAAAGTACAGAAAGTACAATTGGTGTTTTTTAAAAATTAACTGAACCCTCTACATATTTTCAGACCAACACATTCACATGTTTTCATCTTTATTTGGTATTTTATGGACATTGTAATCATTTTGTTAACTGTGTACTGGATAATCTTGATTAGATTATTATTTGAGGTATGGACAAACAAAAATTTAAAACAAAAAGTAAAATACCAAAGTTATTCCTAGAAGTCCTCAATAGTAATGAAAATAATATATGAAGTTTGCTGGATTCTGGTAGATGAAAAATAGAATAGAAGGCTTGATGGCGCATGCCTGTGGTCCCAGTTGCTCACGAAGCTGAAGCAGGAGGATCCCTTGAGCCTGAAAATTTGAGGCTGTAGTGAGCTATGATCACGCCACTGCACTCCAGCTTGGGTGGCACAGAGGGACCCTGTCCCAAAATAAATAAATAAATAAAATACTCCATCCAGAAACTACAACATCTAAATGATGTAAAATGTGAAAGAGGTGGTATCTGAACAT